TCGCCCGGGCGTAACATTTGGGGCGGGCTTATTATTACATTTACATTGCAATAATTATTTTATTAAATTTTAGTTCAAATTTGGTTGGATATTATTATATAATTACAAATGATATTATTATTTATTTTTTTATTGTGTTGTGGGATAATGTTGTTGGCTTTTTCTGTTAATATATTATTGACTAATAAATATATCAACGAGGATACACCATCATTAGTTTTATGTTTAGAGTGTTCCAATATACACTCTTTATCCTAAAGTAGCAAATATACAATTATATACAATATATACAATACAAATTAATATCAATCTTCTTCATTTGAAAAATATGTTTGTATGACTGCATATTTTTCTAAATTGTCTTCAGTGAAATTACTTCTTTTAGAAGTCAATAAATCTTTAAACCTAGAAAACGATCGTTCTACGTCACAACTCGTTACAGGAGCAAATGAAAAATGTGGAACAAAATCACAATATTTTAAAGCAGTTTCATAATCGTTAAAATTGTTCAGGGAGATTTGTTTCAGAGTCTGTAAATTTGGATTTCTTTTAATAACACAATCTATTTTATGGTTAAATTTATCTTGTAAGGGCCACTTTACGTTTTTTAAGTGTAACAATGTCGATTCAAATTTTTCCATAGCAACCGATAATTGTAAGTTACGGGTTTCAAGGAATTTTATAGTTTCTGGGAGACACGAAAAATAAGTCGCAAGAAAATTTAACTCCGACTGCAAAGTTGTTTTTGTTATTAAACCTTTACACTGAGTGATAGAGAGAGCGTCCTCTGATAAGTTGGAAATAAATACTTTTAGTCTGTCGAAATGCTCCGAAAAAAAGAACACAGCCTGTAACCAAGTTCCCCATCGTGTAATAACTGGTTGTGGAGGTAGGGGGATATTCGGACATATTTCTTTATATAAAGAAACTCGGGACGGTGCTTTTAACAAAATTTTTTTAAAACAGCTAATCAACGAATTAATGTCTGGAAAGCTGTCACGGATAAACTCACAAACTCGGTGTAACGCGTGAGCAAGGCAAGTTACATGCAGCATGTTTGGAAAATGTTCTTGTAATAGTTTCCCTGTTTTCAACATTACACTTGCCGCGTCTGAAATAAACAATAAAACTTTTGAAACGTCATTATCAATTACATTGTTCAATCCACGTTTCACTATTTCATAAATCATTTCAGCGTTCACAGTTTCACGAAACACACTAGAAACTAAATACTGTTGTGAAGTATTTTCAGGACTTAATAATCCTACAACAACATTAACAACACATCTATTTCAGTCGTTTCATCTGCACTAACCCAAATATATTTGCTGGAAATTTTCGTTTTTATTGCCGTCATTGCTTTATCGTACTGATTTTGAATATAATGTTTTCTAATTGTGGATTCATCCGGTATTTTACGTTTAGTATATTTACAAAGAAAATTTTTGAAAATTGTATTATTTAATTTTGTTAAGAATATTTGCAGAAACAAATGCGTTGCATAAATCTTCATAAAAGATTTTGTCTGGACATCCCTCTAAAGATTGCATGTGTTTTTGTGTTTTCACATGTTGTGTCATACTTGACTTTCCATTAAAAACTAACACCTGATCACAATTGCGGCAGTATAATTTGTTGTCATTAAAACGACGAAAACAATCAAAGTCCGATAATAAATTTTCCATATTTACGTTTCCAGTTTCTATAACTTTTCCCTTTGAACTAAACAAATATACTCATTGGAAAAATCTAGTGATATTTTTACAAGACACTTTCTTCTCAAATCTCCTGTTTATCGACTCTTTGTTATCTTTTTACATTTTTTCAACCAACAGATACCTATATAGAGTGAGCAATTGAATTAATACATACATTACAGAAATTTAACAGACATTTATTTTATTGTCTCATCGTGTATAAGTACCATAATATCCACAGGAAATAAAAACATAAATGTTTTGTTACAAAAAATCGGTATGTACGGTATCGATAAAAGCCAAAATATTCATAAATATAATATAAGGATTGACTTTATTTGAATAAAAATATCACCGGCAACTAACCGACAATGGATCGAGAAAGTATAAGACAACATATGATGGGCCTATTTGACATTCATTTTAGGCCCTCTCTACAGCGTCTTAGTCCAAACGCTCGTAGAGTCCTAATATTTGGCCCCGATGCAATTTCTCCAACAATGAATCGGGACCAGCTAAGGCTAGAAATTTCCAATTTTCTGGAGGAAATAACAAATTCGGGGGAGGCAGCTGGGGTCCTCGATCCTCATTTTAGGCAGGAGAGTAGTGTACCACGCCAAAATATTGAGGAATAGATATTTTGTAATTATATAAGAGATAATAATAAAAAAAATATCATACAGAATATCGTTTACATTACTACACCTTAAACTCGCTTATGAAAAGTTTAACATCTTCATCAAAAAAGTTATTTTTTTTTAAGGAAAATTTCTCAGGCCACAAATTAAAGGATCTGAGGTTACTAAAAACTTTTGTAAAATATCCTACATATCCTCGGCGTTGGTGAGAAGAAAACATTAAATTTGTTTAATGAAAATGATTCAAAAGACAAAGAATATAGGTACACGATAAAAAAAAATCTCACTTTTTTGTATTAGTTTTAATGTCTATGTATATATCAGTACACTTTTTTTATCTTGTTTTAATAAAAAAAAGAGGTTTGTCCTGATAGTATTAGAATCTGCCGCACTGTCTGCCGTCTTAAATAGCGAACCCAGAATGAGACGCCTATGTGATTAAAACCAATTATTTGAACGCGATTAAAATGTCCGGTCTTTAATTATAACTACGGTGTCGTTTATCAGATTTTGAAAAACTTTATATCGATTAAAAGAAAATTGATTGTTTAGTAAAATATTTCAAAATAGTTCTGATTCAGTTGTTTAAAAGAGCACTAGGTGGCGTTGTTTAAGCAGTAACCATTTTTTTGAAGTTTTCTTGAAAAATTTAAATGGAATGTTATAATTTTTATACGTTATTTAGAAAGATACTGATTTATATAAATATGGGGTAGTTCATTTTCTACTAAGTGATTAATTTTTATTAAGTCTTTTTGTCATTCGTCATGGCCTCTGGAAAATTTACATGTTCACCATTCTGAATAGAATTATCAAAATCATAATCGTAATTTTCACATTAATAAATTTGATTTTCGAATTGATTTTCGAATTGATTTTCAAAATCAGAAGAATGAGCTTCATTAAATGTTTCCATATTATGTAACTATGGTGCAAATTTAATAGATCTGTTTGACTGAAAATAATTTCGATTAATATTTGATTTTTGGACTGTAGGATTTCTAGAACTAGTAGACATTGGTTCCGGTTTATTAGCAGGGATTTGACCGGTTGGTTTAAATACGTCTGCCGGAGGTCCGAAAACTTGTCTATTTGTAAAATATTGTTGAGGTTGTAAATTTTGTTTGGGTTGTATGTCAAATGGTTGAGAAAGAAATTGATTGTATGAATTATATCTAAAATTCTGATTGTTATAATCATTATAATTATTTTGGAAACTATTATTAGGACCTTGGTATCAGTTTGATATTTGATTATTAAAATTTTGATAATTATTTCTACTTTGGTGACTATTTCGGTGACCATTTCGGGGGTTAGATTTACTATTATTATCAGTATTGGAATTTTGAAAAAATTCATTTTGTTTTTGACTTTTGAAATTTTCTTCTTCTAAAACATGAGACATTGCGTTTTCCAGTGAATCAGGATTTCTTAACCGTACTAAATCTTGTACACGGCCCCAGTTAAGCCACGAATAAAAGTTTTTAAAGCTAATTCATCATAATTTTTAATTCTAAAGGTTCTTTCTTCTGTAGTTAAATTCATTGAAATTAATTTTGAAGCAATGGCACTTCTGGATTGCTGAATACGTTGTCCAAAATTAATAAAAGATTCATTTCTTAATGGCCTTAAAATAATTAATTCTTGAACTAAACAATCAAGGTTTCTTTGGTCTCCGAAACTAAGTCTTAAAAGATTTTTTAAACTATCTCAAACTCTTACTTCTGGTCTAGAACCTACTAATGTTAATGCATTACCAGATAATTTTCCAATTATTGCTCTTAATAAAAAACTATTTATTGGATCGTTCCTATTTTGAGTATTTTTATATTGGCTAATTAAACAATCACAATGCTCTAAAAATATTTCCAAGATTTCGCTGTCTCCATCAAAAATTGGTATTGTGTCTATATGCATTTTCATTAGAGGGTGGTTAACACCACTAACCGGAACAACTGAATCTTGACTACCGTTACCCATTGTGTTTGTTTTTAGACTTAAATTACTAATTGTTTCTAATAATTCGTCAATTTTTGCAAATTTAATTTAAAGTTATAAATCTCTTAAAATATTATATACACTAATATTTAAAGTTTAAAACTTGTAATTATATATTCAATATTCACACAAAAATGTTTATTTTATTTCTCAAAATTACTTATCTCCTAAATTTCTTTTAAATATATTATATTCGTTAATAATTTAAAAGATAAAAATCATGGAATTCTATATTCACTAGTTATCCACAACTGATTCCCTAATTTTACCAAAGATAAAAAATGTAAAAAGGAAAAGAAAGGATTGGCTCACCACGTCCTTGGTTGAAGGTTCTGCTCCACGAAGAATTGAAATTCACGACGTCTTCACTTTATTCACAAGAAAAACGCCTTAAAGCATCCTATTGACTGCGCCAGATAAATTTAAAGAATGAAAAATTAACTTTTAAAAAATTTTTATTTTACTTTACAAACGTTTTACTCTGATAAAAATAAGGAATGACAATTTTTAGAATTTTACCTATATTTATAACTTAACTTGCGCTGACGCAGCAGGTCGAAGACCGGCTTGCAAGCTTGCATCTATAGTTCATATAACTCGATACATTTGTTGATATGGGGATAAAGTTTGATATAGTAACTCGTCATTAAAATTAAACTGTTTGCAGGTATAGAAAAGACGAACAAAGTAAAGAGAAGAATAAAACTAAGAAGAAATTCAAACGAAGAGTCGTCAGACGAAGACTCAGATGACTCATATGGAAACGGAAAAGGAGGTCATGGAGTTGTAATTAAATCTGGTGGAAAAAGGATAGTAATAGGTCCGGGAGAAGAAGGAAGTTCAGGACATGGAGGACAAGGAGGACATGCAGTCATAAAAGACGGAGTAATAGTTGTAGCAGAAGGTGGAGGTCGAAGAAAAGAAGTAATAGGCCCAGATGGAGGTCGGAGAAAAGAAATAATAGTAGATGGCGGTCATGAAGGCAATATAAGGACAAAACATAGAAAGCAACCGGTTTATGAAGGTTTGTATTATTATAAAAAGTCTGACATTACTTATATCTGTCAATATTTGTACATCTTACTATATCTTTATATATTTTGTAGACGGTCGTGGAGGTCAGGCTGGAATAGTAATCCAAGAGGGGGACGTAGTTCATGGAGACGTTATAGGAGTTGGACAACCCGGACGTAATGGTGGCAGAGGCGAGGATGGAGTTGTCATTACTGGAGGAAGAATAAACAGAGATATAATAGGAATTGGTGGTAGGGGAGGAAATGCTGAGCCGGAAGAACAAGGTATTTTTATTTTAATCATTATTTAATCAGTTCTATTTTCTGATTTTCATTTGAATTGTTCTACTTCTAATGTGATGCTATTATGTCTGATGTTGACTAATATAGATATTTGCAGTCCCATGCGTTAATCTTTAGAAATAATAATAACAAGGTATCCTTTAAAGGTGACTTTGATGTTGAAGATAAATAAATACAATCAAGTATACAGAATGGACAAATTCTCTTGAATCCATTGTCCTTGGAGATTTCTTATTATGCACCTTTCATGGATTTTCTCATTTTATTAAAATACAATGTTCTCTCATTTCAAATATTTCCTGGGACATAATATAAACCATAATATAAACAAATATTTTATACATTTTCATAGTTACATCTCTCCAACTACTTGACCCAAAAAAGTAGCGTTCACAAGGAATTCGTTTACTATCTAACTTTAAAAAAAATATGTGGTTCTCAATTCGTCGAAATATGTATATATGTATGTTCAGCGATAATTCTTTACTAAGTTGTCCAATTTCAATGATTATTTTTTTATTAGAAAAGGGGTACCTCAGAAGTGGTTCAGTATAAATTTGGTCAAAATATAATGATGGGGTGGGTCTATGAGAAAATTATCAAACTCTTAATTTTTAATGTATTTTCAGTGATAATTCTTTACCACGTTGTCTGATTTCTACGATTCTCTCTTTTTTTTGGCAGAAAGGATATATCTCAGGCGTAGTACCGTATACAATTGGTCAGGATCTGATGATTTATGAGAAAATCTAAAATCTCAATTTTTTAAAAGTATCTGTACAATTTTAAAATTGGTTTTTTAATTAAAAAATTATAGAAAATTATAACGAAAAAGATGACGCAATAGTAACGAGGCAAAAGAGAGGAGGTCGAGGAGGAGACGGAGTCGTAATAAGTGGAGGAGTTATAAGTGGAGGAACTATAAAGGGAAAAGGAGGACGTGGAGGAAACCGTAAAAGGCGTGAAGTACAAGAAGACGACCAACCAATTTTTCAAGGTGTGTATTATACATATAGGGGTAATATTTTAGCAAAATTATAAATAATATGTATATGTATTTACCTACAGTTATCGTTATTTACAGAAAATTATGAACAAGAAGGTATCATAGTAGCCAGACAAAAGAGAGGAGGCCGAGGAGGAGATGGAGTCGTATTAAGTGGAGGAACAATAAGTGGAGGAACTGTAACGGGAACAGGAGGACGTGGAGGAAAACGTAAAAACCGTCAAGTAAAAGAAGAAAACCAACTTATTCTTCAAGGTATGTATTATACCAAAGACATTTGTAATGTATTTGTATTATACATGCTTACAGTTGCTGTTATTATATGTTACAGAAAACGATGAAGAAGCAGAAGATGCAATACTGACGAGGCAAAAGAGGGGAGGTCGAGGAGGAGATGGAGTTGTAATGAGTGGAGGAACTATAAGTGGAGGAACTGTAACGGGAACAGGAGGACGTGGAGGAAGTCGAGGAAAAAAACGTAAAAACCGTCAAGTACAAAAAGAAAACCAACTAATTCTTCAAGGTATATATTATACATATATATAAGGATACTATTTTAACAACATTATATTATTTATATGCATTTATTTACAGTTACTGTTATTATATGTTACAGAAAATGATGAAGAAGGAGAAGATGCAATACTGACGAGGCAGAAGAGAGGAGGTCGAGGAGGAGACGGAGTTGTAATGAGTGGAGGAACAATAAGTGGAGGAACTGTAACGGGAAAAGGAGGACGTGGAGGAAATCGTAAAAACCGTGAAGTACAAGAAGAAGAAGAAGAAGAAGAAGAAGAAGAAGACCAACTAATTCTTCAAGGTATATGTTATACATATAAGGATAATATTTTAGCAACATTATAAATATTATTTATATGTATTTACTTAAAGTTACTGTTATTATATGTTACAGAAAATGATGAAGACGGAGAAGATGCAATACTGACGAGGCAAAAGAGAGGAGGTCGAGGAGGAGATGGAGTTGTAATAAGTGGAGGAACTATAAGTGGAGGAACTGTAACGGGAACAGGAGGACGTGGAGGAAAACGTAAAAACCGTGAAGTACAAGAAGAAAACCAACTAATTTTTCAAGGTATATATTATACACATAAGGATAATATTTTAGCAACATTATACTTTTTCTACGCCTATGAAATAATTAAAATGCAGATTAAATTAAATTTACTCAAATAAACCATTTTACATTAATTCATGTTAACTTTTAATAACATGGATAATAAAATGATTATTTATCAATTAACGGATTATGTTGATGAATATTTTTTGTGAAATTCTGGCAGTTCTGAATAGTAAGTGATGGGGTGGCCACATCCATTTTTTTTATTTTCATTGACCTTGGTTTTAGTCTCGGTGGTGGTAATAGTGGATTTGCTTTGTATTGAGTGAAGTATTTTTTGGGCAGTTGTCATTTTATTATTTAAGGAGTCGTTGATGTATCCCTCCGCCACCGTTGCGGACTTCCACCCCCCATGTCTTTTTAAAGCAGTCATGTTGGCTCCTGCATCTACTAGTATTGTGGCAGACGATCTCCTGAAACTGTGTCCTGTATACATTTCGGGGTTGGGCAGATTTAAATAATTGGCAATTTGTTTTCCCATTGCCGAGAATTTGTTAATTCCTATATTTTGGACAGAGCATTTCCCATTTTGATAATTCTAACTATTTCACAAAATTTTCCTGTTACGGTGAACTTTCTAACAATTTCCATTATAAGCGTTCCCAATAGAACAAAACTTTTTAATAATTTGTAATGTAGTTCATGTATGACATGCGCTTAGGTCAGTTCAAGTACTAATTGCAAACTAATCGTAACATCTAATTGGGAACAAACCTAAAATCTAGGGAAATGAATAATGATCGGATTAAATGTTTATTTTGACTGGAGCATTGCCTCTTTATATTGTATATTTATATCAGATTGGGATCTACTTTCCGCGTAAAGTGTTAGCCCCTGTGGGAATAGTGCACTGCTTGTACAATAGGGCAGGTCAAAAATTACCAAAAAAACATTAATTTAGACTATTGTGAAAAAATTGTGTTTTATGTGGTTTACACCCTATATAAAAATTAGTGAAAAAATAAAATATTTAGCTGGGACCTTAGGGGTGAGAAATTAAAAAACTAAAAAAATTCAGCTTTGTGCAGCTCTTTGCTTGATTTAAAACTCAAGGGGTTTAGAGCAGCTACAAGATAATAAAACCGGTTTTGAATGTTAAATCAACCCAGAGCTCACCACGAGGAGGTGGCCGCACTTCGAGTTCCACCCACCCACCTATTTCTCCATTTATCTCAATATATCTTACTTATTTATGTAAAGAGATCATTACATTTTTAGCAAGTCTTTTTTGGCATCAAGTTTAGCACGTATGTACGTAGAATTTTCACAACACCCAATTCTCTTTTCTCTTTTTGGCATTGTTATTAATATTCTCATAACTTGGAAAAATTTAACAATAATAGCAATTACAAAGGACAACTGAATTTATTACAAACACTAAAGATATAAATTCAGATACTTTGTAAGGTATATAAGAAAACAAAAGTCAAATATTAAATTAAAAGAACAGCCTGAACTAAAGATAAACGTCCAAATGAATGACGTAACTGAACCAAGACGTTAACGTTAGGTATTAGGTGCAAATACGAGATGGTAATACCAATTAATTTTCTTCTACTATGGGACCGAGATCGATATTCTCTAGAAATAATCGGTCTATTTACTAAACGTGTTGTTGGAAATCTTATATTATTCTGGTGCCTTGCATGACCAAGAAACCATAACACTGATGCAACATGTGCGCAAGTACTTAAAGTTCTCGAACCGCATGTACAATAATAGTAGAAAATTGGATCAATATTTTCATTAAGTTCCTCTTCGCATGCCAACCACAGCATATATTTAGTTGCGTTTCTAAACCTAGAATAAATTCTAAAACGTAAAAAATTATTCTCTTCTCTAAACTCGTCTATTTCTAAACCATTATTTTCCTCTCTTTTGCAGTTTATCTTGAATATATGATGGACTTAAATAAATATGGTAAAAACCTACCAAGTCTTTTAGGAAATTGATCTCTACGCGAGGAAATTCAGGAATATGCATGTGGTTCAATCTTCACCACCGACCATTTCTGGTAGTCAGATTTTGGGCTTCGACGCGTGCTTGTATAATATTAACGTCATCTAGTTTGTTTAAAATTTCAACTGCTATGTCCATTGTACCTGGTAGGTTCATAAGAGGATGAAACTTATTTAACAACGCACCTGAAATCTTATAAAAACCACTCAAATTAATTGCATGATGCGTGGATATGCGGCCTTTAAAAAATTTAAAAATGGATTTAAAGTGTCCATTTCTGGCTTTTACAACCCAACGAGTTTTAGTTATTAGTCTCGCTCTATTAGCTTCACTTGTTGATAAATGCCGTTGGTTTTGATGAAGCAAAGGTGGCATATAAGTAATTAACCCAAGTTCTTCTAATCTAGGAATAACATCTCTGTAGCCTCTATCTACTATTACTATATTTCCTTCTGTAATCCAGTTTCTAAATTCATTATTATCATTAACCAATTGATGCCGTAAGATTGCTGCATCATTATTAGATGCATCAGAAAAATAAGGACCATTGATTGATAAAATATATGCGTCAGGAGCTACTGTAATTTCTGGCTTAACTAAATGTTCCTTCTTAAAATAGCAATAGGACTGACGTAATATTCTAAAATTACTACTTTTTCAATTTAGTTATATGTACAATCGACATAAAATATGACCTTTGGAATATTTGCTATAGGGTTGTAAAGCGCGTTTACGAATTCAGGGACATGATTTATGATATAGTTTTCTCTGGTCATTGATCTAAATCCAATATTACTATAGGTACAAATCTTTGAAGCAGGGACATACGGACATTAGATATGACTATACTAGTGACTTGTCGGGATGAATAATTTAAAAGTAATTTTATGAACTCATCTGACAATCCATGTCTTAGTTTAACAAGGAAAGCAAGTAAATCTTTTTGAACAATGCTTCTTAAGTTACCATATTGTTCTATTGGTTTACAAAATTCATATAATTTTTGAAAATTATCTTTAGAAATTGAAGTTAAATATTTAAATTCTTCTAAAATAAAAGTATTTATATCTTCCCAATTTTATAAATTATTATTAGCATTAGCTGCCGCTCTTAAAGTAGACAAAAATTGCTGGGTATTAACGGGGAGGAATGGTCTATAAACAAAACGCAAACCAGCATGTAAATTAGTCATTAGTAAACCCGAATGATTTAGATGAATGTCACAAATCTTCAGATATTCGGGTACCTAAATATTTGAGACTAAAAAAATATTTGATCTGCATACTGCCGATAGTTTTCTTACATTTACTTGTGCGTTACAAATTATACAACCACGAACTGAGTGGGGTGTTAAAACATTAAGTCTTAGGCAATTTGGATCATTTTCAATATTTCTAAGTTCCTGTGTAATTGCGTGATAACTGTTTAAACATAATCTTACTTCTTGTAGATTATCAACTGCAGGATGTCCGGCAGCTTGTCTTCTAAAATTAGCAATGTTAAGCACATCTATATTATTGTCCTCGTCTAAACGAATAGTGAGTCGAAGTTGAAAGTGTCTATTGCAAACATAACAGCTAATCCTATTTGCAAATGCCATATTTGCAATAATATTTATTTAAAACACTAATACAGAACGGTCTAATGCTCGCTTAAAATAATACAAACGTCATTTATTATAAAAGTCAACAATATGTTCAATTATTCGGAAAATATTTAATCATAACCTTCTAGATCAATATATATATATATACAGTGCGTCCATAAAGTAACGCATAAATTCATTATTGGCTAAATGAACAATAAAATTAGGAATTCCCAAAACAGGTCGATTTTTGATTTCAATTTACTATTGTTTCAAATCATAATCTAATATACAGGGTGAACCACTTTCGTGTAATGACGTCATCACCATTTTTTTCAAATGGAACCCCCCTTTTTTTTCAATTTCCAAATTGCCTTTGCTGAGCTGATTCCAAAAATGTATAATATGTTGCTTCAAATTGGTACAGGGTGGGCAAAAATGCAAAAAAAAATATGAAAATTGTTTATGGAAAGTAATACGTTACTGAATGTAATAAACAAATTAAATGGAATTATGTAGTTATGCAATTAATGTGATACACTTCCAAAAACAAACAAACGAACGAAAATTTACAATAAATGTTCAAATTGTTCTACATTGACTGAACCGGGCATTACTTTCGTCTCTAACATTCTGTAGCATAGCGGGTGTTATGCTCTGTATTTCTTGTCTGATTCGGTCTTGTAGTTGAGGGATATTTCCAGGTCTGTTGAAGTAGACTTTAGATTTTAAATAACCCCATAAAAAGAAGTCTAATGGGTTCAGATCAGGTGATCTAGCAGGCCATTCCACTGGTCCCCTTCTTCCTATCCACCTTTGTGGAAAAGTTGTGTTTAAAAAATTGCGCACAGCTACTGCGTAATGTGGCGGTGCGCCATCCTGTTGAAACCAGATTCTGCGGTCTACATTAGTGGGTATTTGAATATCAGGAAAAAGCTGGATCAGATCAGGAATTAATGTATTTTGTAGGAAATCCAGATATAATGCTCCTGTTAAGTTTTCATCGAAAAAATATGGACCAATAATTGTATTTCTCACAATACCAGCCCATACGTTAGTTTTTTGTGGTCTTTGCGTATGGTACTCTTGCATCCAGTGTGGATTTTCATCAGACCAATAACGGGTGTTTTGCCGGTTAACATGACCGTTCAAATAAAACGTTGCCTCGTCCGAAAATAAAACATTATCAATGAAATTGTTATTTTGGTTCATCATATACTCGCAGAATTCAGTTCTTCGGTCAAAGTCGTCTTCAGCCAATTCATGGATGAGACGTACTTTATAAGGATGGTATTTTACCTTTTTGAAAATGTTTGATACTGAAGACTTTCCAATACCAAAATCCCTAGATAATCCTCGCACTGTACAGTGTGGATTTTCTACAGCCGACAAAATTATGTCTTGTTGAATATTTTCATCAATTTTTGGTCTACCTTGCCTTGCTGCATCCCTCACATGTCCTAATTCTCTGTATTTTCGCTCTATTCTACTTACCGTAGATTGTGAAATAGGTTCACGATCTGGGTGCATTTCATGGAATAATCGGCATACCTCTTGTTGAGTCCGCATCTTATCGCCAATACCAATCATCATTAATATTTCAATCCTGTCACTTTCGGTTAAAGGCATTTTGTAAAAAAAGTTCATGAACGTACCTTCTCTACAGCGTTAACAATACGAAACTGTGCTTCAATGTTTTTGACAGTGTTGTCAAATAAAAAAAACTGGTATGTCAAATAAAAAAAACTGGTAAAAGATAATGCCAAACAAAAAGATTTTTATAGTCCAGGGGCTTGGATCACTAATAAAAGCTGTAAGATACAATTATTAAGAATAATGCTGTATGTTTTTGATAGTTTATCAAAGTAGTTGTAATAACAATACGTAATTTCATTTAATGTGTTTATTACGTTTATTCGTTATTTTCATTACTTTGTAAGTAAATTTTTGCATTTTTGCCCACCCTGTACCAATTTGAAGCAACATATTATACATTTTTAGAATCAGCTCAGCAAAGGCAATTTGGAAATTGAAAAAAAAGGGGGGTTCCATTTGAAAAAAATGGTGATGACGTCATTACACGAAAGTGGTTCACCCTGTATATTAGATTATGATTTGAAACAATAGTAAATTGAAATCAAAAATCGACCTGTTTTGGGAATTCCTAATTTTATTGTTCATTTAGCCAATAATGAATTTATGCGTTACTTTATGGACGCACTGTATATATATATATATATATAAATCAAGTGTAAGCATGTTTATATATCCTATAAGGTTGTTGGCATATTCATCACTATTTAGAATTTACTAATAAAATCTATCAATCGTCTAAAACTCATAGGTTACAAAATATACAAGGTAATCAATTTTTGTGAAAATCTCCGAAAAAATTATATATTATCATAGTAGATATAAGAAAGCAAAACTTTAGGCATGCAGACAGTTTTTAGCTTTATATTTTATCATTACGAATATACAGGGTGATTCTTAACACGGTATCAGACCCAAGTCGATTTAAAATGCCTTGGTTGTGTCGATTACAACAAGCTTAACGTCTGAAGTGAAAAATTACGGAGTAACAAGATGTTAAAGATTATCTGTATTTCCAAGTTTAAATCATTAAATACTTAACAAAACGACTTGCATGCCTTTGCATAATGAAAATATAAAAACAGGCAGGTTATTCGAAAATTACGAATATTTTATTACCCTATATTCATATCATATTGTTTTGAGAAGCCCTTGAAAAATCAAGAGAGGAACAGGTAAGCTGTAAACTATAAAAATATCAACAAATGTTTCGTGAAAATTAATTACAATAATATGTCTGCTCGACTTATGTTAAATATTTGAAACCAATAACATGAAAATACTATTTCTTATATGAATGAGTACCAATAATTAGATATGACATTTATACTTCATTGTGTGCATAACTATTACTCAATAGATTTCCTAGAAGAAAACTCGCAATGAAACAGTAGTTAAGAAATGGATAATTTCCCAGATTTTTCTGCTCATTAACTACTTCATTCTGAGGCTCCATTAAATGTTTTTAATTTCTAGTTATTCCAAAAACTATGTCAGTTTGACAAAGTTTGGTATTGGCTATTTAAAATATTAATGTATGTATATTTATAATGTTTTTCAATAAAGAACTCACAAGCAATTTATTTTCTAATATTTGGCAATAATTTTATATATTGTTGATTTTTCCACCTTGCAAGTTCAACTGTAACCATCCTTCAAGGGATGCGACTTAAAACAAAATGTATTGGGGGCTTTACCTCATTGGTGGCGTGAATGGAGCTCATAATCTAATTTAAGTATACAATACAAAGAGGCACTTATGACAATACTCGAGCCAAATAAACCTGTAATCCGATCATAAATCATTTCTGCACATCCTACTGAGACCTACCATATAATCAACTTTTTGTACCGAAATAAAGTATGACCCTGTATATGGACTTATACTATTTTTTTGATGAACAACAATTATTTTCTATTTTTTGAGAACAATTTCAACATTTTGTTGATTTAACTTACATATTCAACCGCGATCACCCTGTAAGTAGTACAAGGGGTATATTCTTAATCTAAAACAGTATATCAAAATATTTAATATAAGATATTTCTCTTGAAAATATCTATTTTGTCAGTATATATTTATTGTTTAAAATTCATATATTTGGTACATATTAAGTTATATTTGGAAAACTGGTCATAGGATTTCTTTTTACCAATAAGAATTTTGAACGAGTACATTGAGCACTATACGATATCAAATATTGAGACACTTTGACGGTGATATATTTTTTTTCGGTATTTTAGCTTTTTTTTTTCGGTGGGAATATCTACTTTGACCAAAAAAGATTTGTCGAATCATTAATCACCCTGTAAGGTACAATATTTTAATTATAGTAGATAAGTATGTATTTTTACTACACAGAATGAGCAAAAAACTTCCAAAAATATTTAAGGGTGATTTATGGTGTCCATTTTAAAGAACTAGGGATTTCTAACTTCAACACCCTTTATCTCAAAATCTAGTCATAGGATACAATTGGGCCCATGGATACTTTTGATGGGGATATCAAGTAATTTAACACATCAAAAATTCAGACATTTTGACGGTACTCCCGTTTGCATAAGAAAAGTGCGTGGTCCTTTCCATCTATCTAAAAAATGTTGACAATTGTCCAAAGAATATCTTTTTGCGCATTTTAAACATGATAGTTGAGTATTATGATAATTTTGGGCAGTAGCTAAAGTAGTATTATGCTTATCTTTATAGTATGGTGGTTTACCATTAGCGGCTGTTTGTTTCTTACTAGTAGAAGGTGGGTAACTCGCTGCTTCTGCCTTGTTACATATCCATTGGCTAAACTGTTTTATGTAACAATATCCGTTTCCTCTTGCCAACTTTTCTTCCAATAATAATTGCAAATTTATTGGCAGTTTCTGTAATAATTCATCCATTAGCTGTGGGCATCCTAAATAATCTTCCATTTGCATCGTCTCGAGAGTGATATAGAGGTTGGTTACTTCTTCCTAAAATTAGTTAAATATTTGCAATCGTTGTACTTTATAATGGACAAATTTCGGATTTTATTAACTAAATTTTTTACTAACAGATCTTGTCTTTCATATTTTCTTTTTAATATGTGGACAAATACCGATGCAGTAAAACATAATAAACCTTCAACTAATCTTTTAGCATCCTCTTTTAAAGCCTTACGAAGTCGGCACATATATATTCTTCATTGGACAGCCCAAATAACTCTGTTGTTGATAAATATTGTTCATAAATACTGTTGATAAAAACTTCATTCTAATATATCACCACTGAAAATCGGTAAATCATTTTCTGTAGTTTATCCAGCCAAAAGTTATTTGATAGGAATATTTGAAATCAATTCTTTACAGTAAAATTTTTTATTTTTAAAATTTTGACTATCTGGTCTTGACTTTTTGCACACAGTATATAGATAAAAAGTTGTAGAAAAATACTTTACAGTTTGATTAAATTTAGTACGATTTTTTAGATTATTAGATATGTAGTTCAATTTTCAATTATAAATGTTGACAGAAAATGACGTAGAAAGAGAAGAGACAATTCTGACAAGGCAGAGAAGAGACGACGATGACGACGACGACGATGACGATGACGACGGAGGAGCCGGAGGAAATGGTTTCGTAATGAGTGGAGGATATGTAGATGCAGGTACTATAAAGGGAACAGGAGGACAAGGAGGAAACCGTAAAAGGCGTGAATATAATTTTCAAAGTGTGTACATTATATTTATAATATAGTTATACCGAACCATCAAGACAAACTAGAATTAGCCTGTGAAATTTAAATGATTTAGCTTGATTTTTTAACCACTTACAAAGATTAAAATTTTGATTCTATACAAAGTTTATTACCTCGAAACTGTTAAAAAAAAAAACAAATAATTCATTTAATATTGAAATCGTATTCAAAATGAATTTCTACAAAAGAGGTAAACTTGATAATGCTTTCAGTTATTGTTTTTTTTACAAAAAAATAATAAAATATCTTGCTTAGATCAAAATACCACAATGCAGTTTTAATTTTTTGTGCTGTCATTATTCAGCATTATCGTAATTTTTGACAATTTGTATTAAGGAGGTCCTTTCGCCACCAATGTTAAATAAAAAATATTAGATTATGACTAAAATTAATTTTTTTCTAATAGTAGATGTCCTTATTTATCTAATAGTGAACTTTTAACTATACCTTACCGTGCAAATTTTTGAGAATTTTTTTTTTTAAATGTGTGTGTTTGTACAGTGTCTTATGAGAAAGTAAGACTTCAACAACAATTTTCGAATTATAATTAATTTTACTATTATTTATTGATAGATGGAGTAGAAAAAAACTAAAAATAAGGTTTTTGAAATATTTAGGTTTTGTTTTTTACAATAAAATATATAGGTTACCGTGGAATTTATTGAGAAATTATTATTAAAAAATCACAAAAAATTTTTAACTAGGTTACTTGAAAATTTGTGATTTTTTAATATTAATTTCTCAATAAGTTCCATGGTTTACTATATATATATTTTATTGTATAAAACAAAATCTAAATATTTCAAAAACCTTATTTTTAGTTTTTTTCTACTCCATCTAATCAATAAATAATAGTATAATTCGAGAATTGTTGTTGAGGACTTACTTTCTCGTGAGGCACTGTACAAATACTCACATTTTAAAAAAAAAAAGTTTTCAAAAATTTGCAAGGTAAGGTATAGTTAAAAGTTCAGTATTAGATAAATAAGGACTTCAACTATTAGAAAAAAATTAATTTTAGTCATAATCTAATAACTTTTTTTTTAACATTGGAGGCGAGAGGTGTGGCGAAAGGACTTCCTTAATGCCACAGTAGCACCACGGCATAAGAAACAATCGGCAGGTTTACTTGCCGCTGATCTCATACAAATATTACACTAAGAAAATTTGACCTTGGCGACGCCATTTGGGGGTCTTAGTCAGGGTCGGATTAAAGCGTATTTAAAGATTTTGTAATAAAATAAGGTATTGATAGACAGGATCGTATTAAAACAAAAAAGTAAAAATTTACATAAAATATATTTTAATTTAACTTATAAAAATAGCATTAAGAAAGACAATATGCTCTACAGATTGCGCCAAATAATTAGCTTGTTTTTATTGATGGTCTTAAAATTTCTATTAAGGTAAGTTGGGGTAAGTGCGTACAGAAATTTGACTAGTTCAACTTTAAGGTGATGCCACTTTGGCCGGTGAAGTTGAATTTAAGATCTGTAAAATCTGTGCAGTAGGTACATTCAAACTGTATAGGTTCTCGGTAAAATGAAGTTTACAAAAGGTGTTTTTACTTGATGGCGATTTTTTTTATTTTCATGACAAAGTGTCGCTCTTACCCCAGGTAGTTGGGGTAAGAGCGGCACCACCTTTCATTTTCAATACCAATTGTTGTTTTAGTTTGAGGGGCAAGTGCCTCCATCCTGAAATGTGTAGAAAGCAAATGCTCTGTACAGAATTTAAATAAGTTTATTATTTATTAACTTATAAACTCGAACAACAAAACTAAGAAACTAAGTAACATACTAAAAAACCTGTTTATTGCACAGTATAACCGTCAAACGATATTTGAAATGATATTTCTCCACGTCTACCTAATACAGGCTAAGGTAGTAATTTAACGATGTTATTTTTTGGAATAAATTCCACATCTTCCACGGGTGGAAACCTAAATAGAGATGTTCTAGTAGAAGTCTGAATTTTTCTAGCAAACTGTATTAAAACTTGGTCAGACTGCAATTCCAAAACTTTTCCAACATATTGTTTTAAGGTTTTTTTCGTGGCAAATTCCACTAAAACCCAGTCTTCTTCCTTTAAAGTTGAAAGATCTCTCATAATTTCATTAAACTCATTCTGTACGTTTTCCATATGATTGACCAAATCTGATAATGACTCCTCATCCTCAGACTCTTCCTCGCAAAGGTTTACTCCATTTTCATTTTCTGATTCACTTTCACTCTGATCAATTTTCTTCTTTTTTGCTCTGCTGCTTTCTATAGCTTTTCTTTCCCTTTTTGGTATCTTTGTAGCTTTCATAAGCTGTTTGTCTGCTGCTTCTTTTAACCTCTCTACTACTTCTGTTCTAGTTATGACTTCTGCTCCAGGGGCGATTCTCTTTTTTGGTTTTTTTTTTGTAATTCCTGATCATCTTTCTTTGCTTTTAATGTGGATAAAAGCAGTTCTTCAAACGAAACGTTGGATTTTATACCTTCACTGGTGCTAGGTTCAGGATTTAAATATTGATTCGTCACGTCTTTTAATGGAGTTGATACATCCATAGTTACAGTAGCTGCAGTTGAAGAGAGTACGGGTACTGCTGCAGGTAGAAAATCTTCTCCATCAGCCTGTTCTGTAACCGTTTCTGAGTCTCCAGTTTTATGTAATAACTCCTTTCTGCTATGTTCCCATCTTTTGAAAGCAGCTGGATCGAATTTGTCGTTTGTGATAACCTTGTCATTAAAAGGATGAATCCCTGCTTTCTTAAACCCATTAACTATTAAATTTGGATTAGACTCTTCCCAGACTTGTTTAAGCAATGTCGAAAAGGATTTTTTAATAATTTTTTTTCCGGGATTCATTCGTTGCCATTTGACTAATTTGGCGTCCCATGAGCATTTCAATGATTTGAAGACAGCTATATCAAGGGGTTGCAGAATATGGCTGGAATGCGGGGGTAGTTTTAATATGACGACATTTTCTTTAATTGCTGCCTCAATTAACTCTATGCCAACGTGTGTAGAGTGGCCATCGTAAATCATTAATATGGGGCGTCGTTCACCAAATGTTTTAAATAATATTTTTGTTACATAGTTTTTGAAAACTGGTGTTTCCATCCACCCCTTTTTAGTGGCAGCATATGCTACACTAGGGTTACTTTCATCCGGTTCTGGAGCCGTCCACTCATCATATACATCTTTGCCTTTAAACACTATTAAAGGCACTGCCTTTTGTCCTGCAGCGCTGGCAGCACATAGAACAGTTGTATTTTCCCTACCTGGGCCACTGGTGGTTCGGGTAGAGGGCACTCCAATTGCTCCCACTACTTTGGTTTTTGAGGGATCTGTACAAAAACTCGTTTCGTCTAGGTTCCATATATGCTCTGGTTTATCCATAATCCCCAATTCTAAAAGAATGCCTTTAAGAATTTCAAAGTAATCATAGATAATGAATGGGTCCATACATCTTCGACGGGAAATTTCGACACTCTGTGGTACTTTTAGAGAAAGATGGTGTCTCTGTTTAAATGCAATAAACCAGTCCGGTCCTGGAATTCCATTCTTAAATCTTGTTTTGAAACCATTTAGTTTCACGTATTCACCAATACCTTCAATCACTTCTGAACGAGATAGTCCGAATCCCCATTTCTCCATGACTCTTAAACACTCTGCTATGTTCTCTTCAATTTCAAAACTTATATCAGTATTTCTTCCTAAACTTTTACTCTTTACTCCTCTTCTTCCTGCCAAATGATCAGTCAATGTCGATCTTGGAATTTCATAGACAATACTGGCTCTTTTTATACTAATTGTCTTACATTTAATCTGTTCTAACGCAGTTATTAAATTTTCTTTGGTATAAGTAGTGGCCCTTTTTGATTTTCTTTTATATTTTCTCACCATTTTTAAGTTTTTGAAACCTAAAATATAAAATTTTCATTAAGTTACGTTGTTCGCTACAAACGGGGTAAGTGCGTATTGTAAGTGACGCACTTTCCCTTTCAGTAAAAAATTTGGGGTAAGTGCGACACCATCTTTAACTTTTAGAAAATAAATTAATAAATATATTTTTCATGCTGCACAGTATCCAAACAATTTATATAAACAACTGACAAAATATTAATATTTATTTCAAACAATAAAAAGAGAAAAAAAAATTCCTTACCAACTCGCTCGACGAGATCTCACAAACAGGTTATGTTCTGGTACTCACTGACAGCAGACCTTGAGCGGCGGTGTTGCCATTTAACTAGGGTGGCTTCAGTGAACTATAATTTACAATTTTTGACAAAGATGGCGTACCTATGTCTAACAGGAATAAATATTTAACATGGTGATGCTCTTACCCCGAAAACGATCTTACCCCAACTTACCTTAATATTTTTGAAGTGTAATATATGAGTAGCCTTAAATATAACTTAATAACATATATTTCTGGAAATCGGGGACAAGGAACATCAAATGTTATCTCGGAATTAATTAAATCTAAAAAAAAAAAAACGCCGGATTTAGTGATAAATAATTTAAAATTTTGTTGAAAAATTATTTCAGTTTTTGTTATTTAACATACAAAACTATTATTTGACATTTTTAAATTGCCAAAAATATCTTTATTTGCTTTATTTGTATGGTTTATAATAATACATGGAGCTTGTATCCAAGTCTTCGTGTGGTAAGGCATATTGTGTACATACGTCGCAACTGTAAATTTTTAGACATTTTTTTATTAAAAATCCGCATATATAATAAAATTTTCTTAAAAAATATTAATATTTTGTGCATCCAATTCATTAATATGCTTGTTTATATTTACATTTTCGACAATATTGCCACACCATTACACGCGATTTTGGAAAATGGCTCATCCTTACTACTCCTACGAATTTCATGCAGCCTTACAAGTAAAGCATCCCCACCTGTTTCGCAGTTTTCAGTTCCAGAATGTAATAAATTTAAACATTGCAATTTTTTGAACGTCCTTTGAAATTGGACCGATGTAGGGTTTACACAGTTACCATCATGGAGGAAGGATAATTAAGAGTTGCAGATTTTCCTCACAGAAATTTGGGAGCATGTTTACTTTCATATGGAATAGTTTTGTGAAATTAATACTCAATCGGTAATATAGAAAGATGTAATGCTATTTTAGTTTGAAAATTGGCGGGCTTTTGAACTTACTTCGACAAAATATAAGAATTTTACATTTTTATTAGCATTTTTTTAATACGCATTTAAGGCGTATTAAAAATGCAAATAAAAATGTAAGATTTTATGTTAAATAATTTTAGAAGTGCAAAATCAATAATACAAAATTGTAACAACTAAATATTATTTGTAGAATCTTTATTGGTTACAACAACAAACATAATATACATTTTCTGAATAAACAACTATATTAAATAACATAAAACAAACAAAATTTTTCTGTAATCGTGCGAAGAGTTCCAGCCATAAATCCTGAAACGAAAAACAAAAAAAAACAATCGTTGAAAGCGAAAAACTGCTTACGACACATGATTTTAATTGTATGTGACCATTACTAATTTTTAATTTACTACTTATAATTTCTTTAATGGCTAACTAAGATTTTCTTGCTTTTTGTAATTAAAATACTTTAGATTTATCAGAATTATAAAGCTTTGTTATTTGCATATCTAGAATAATTATTATCAAATTGAATATCAGTATTTAATTTTTGTTAAGCATTTCAATATTTGGGAACAATACAATTACGATTAATATTAATTTTTTTCTGAAAAAAAAAAAAGTCATTCTTTACAAAAAATTCTGCTTGTTGAAAAAAATTACAAGAAAAAGTTTCCTTTTAAAGTTATGAAGGAAAACCGACAGGAAAACTGTGACTTTTCTTCGTAAAATCAATAGGTAATACAGATTTTTGTCAATTTCAAGTTTCTTCATTTATTAAGACCCATTACACCTGACCTAACATATTAATATAGTAAACCTATTTTTTCGTTAAACAGATTTTTTTTATGACTTTTTCATTAAAATAAAAATAAAGATTTTTTCATTTTGTCAACTCCATACAGGAGATGTTTAAAATATAACATTTTACTTTAAATCCTAAGATTTTTTTTAAAAGTATACCATACATACCTACCTAATAGGATCTTTAAGAAACCGAAAAAAATCTTTTAATACAGTTTATTCATATAGTTTTTTGCTGCACAACTTTGCCCAGACATAGTAAAACACGTAAAAGTTAACAAATTAACACTGGAAAACAACTACTATATAAAAAGTGTCAAAAAATATCTATAATTCTAAAAAAAATAACAATATCTACATAATAAACACATCACAAACAAAATACATTTAAGGTAGTTGACTCGTAAAACGGCCTTTCTTAAGAATTCAATAAAATTGAAATATGAGGTTAATGAAAGTGCCTTTTATGTACCTAAAAAAAATAAAAAAATTTGACCGTCTGTAAAACGAGATATTAACAATCAAAATGTGCATAATTAACACTCTTGAAGCCCTGTCATGTACACAATCATTGCATTTGTTTCAAGATATCTCGAAAACGGTTCTTACCATATTTTTTAAAAAACTAATGTTATGTAAATAAAGAAGTTATAAAATTTTCTAAAAAAACGCTGAATTTTTTTACCGTTTTAACAAAGAAATATAGATTTTTAAAATAAAAATGTTCTTAAAGCAGTCGACGCATACTGGCGTATTGTGATTACAACTTGGCAACGTTGTAGTCGATACATTCAACGCCCGCTAATTCAAATGTCTGTTAGATCATTGCTTCCCAACCTTTTTATTGCCGCGGACAAGTCAAGTTTATCACTTTATCGAGGCCTTCTGGGAAGGGACGTTGTTTCTACTTTAGGTTGATATGATTTAACAATTTAAATTTAATTGTATTTAAAGATGTCTTCAAAATTAAATAAATATGTAAAAGATGAATATAATTTTACATAAACATGTCTTCAAAATAAAATACAGTTGCACCCAAAAAAAATGAATATAAAGTAATTTAAAATTTTAACTTACTAGTTATGAGGAAGTCATAAAAAAATACAAATAAAAGTAATGATTTTCTGTAGTATTGATGATATCGTAGGAACGTTCATGACAGCAAGAAATTTATTTAAAGCAGTTTGACCAAACCCTGAATGGAAAGCACCTTTAAATAAATAAAGTTATATTAATTATAATAAAAAAATTATAAACAACAAATATTTATGTATTTTTTTTTAAATTTACCTAGAACTGCTTTAGTGTTGACATCTAAATGCTTAACTTCACTTTTTGTTGCATGAACTTTGTCCGTAGATACTATAGTTTCAATATTACATTCATTACATTTAACATTTAAAATTGAATAAAGGCCCTTTCGTGTTTCATTTTGTAATATTTTCAAGAGAAAGAACTCTTTCACACCAGCAACATTTTAAATGTTTTCCCAACTCTTGTAATTCCACGATGCGACCACTGCACAGGTTATTTTTCAAGCTTGGGGTTTCCTTTCTTAATTTTTTTGCATTATTCATAGCCAAAATTGATTTTTTGCGTTTGTTGAGGACGTTCTGCTTAACAAATTTTCCATTATCTCGCAATTAATTGATTCTGGCAATGAAACATTTTGATATTTACATTTATTTTACATTAGGAATACAGTTCACGTTTCACAATATATTTGCGACGTTGCCGGATGGATTTTACGCGATATAATACCATATTTGTATATAGGATCACATGTGTTGTGTGTACAGTCTGTTACAAAAATAACCTTTCTTTAGATTTAAGAATCTCGAACGGTTGGTATTCACTATAGGACGATATTTTTGTGTACGACTGTCGCGAGTGAACTACCTTAAGACTCACGCTACTGATTCCAAGCTGCTGCAACTTGTTTTTTTTGTCGATATAAACGACGACAGTGACGCCACTGGCTTGATTGAGAGGTTGGACCCCAAAATGGCGGTGTGCGCGTAGATGTGCGCGTAGCGTTGCCGCCAAGACAAGTTAGCCTGCCGATTGTTTCTTATGCCGTGACTGTATTATTAATTATACTGGGGTAATGGCGTTAGTGATGCGCAGTAGAAAGGAGAGAGCGCAGCACCAGTCGGTGGCTGGCGCTTAAAAGCCCGCGAAATATGATTAAAATTTATTTAATTAAAAATAACCATAAACGCTTTTTAAATGGCAAGTTCTCATAGGAGTGTTAATAAATCAATAAAATTTCATAAAAAATATGAAGGTCAACCTTGCACGGTCTCTTAAACTACTACAGTTTATTTTCATCATTAATATATTCTATAGAGAGAAGATCTGACGGAGTCGTATTTGGTGGAAGTGGACCTGTAGGTGGAATACCTATAAGCGGAACACATGGAAGACACCGCGAAAGCCGTGAAATACAAGAGGAAAACCAACTAATTCTACAAGGTGTGTATATCATATAACGTGTTTTAAAATAAAGTACCGTAAATTGACTAATTATTAGGAAAATCTAAATATAATTTTCCTGTAAACGTCCTAGTTTCCATTTTACAGGGTGATAACGCAAATTTCATAAATACATAATTTTCTAAATATCTTCCCTTACGAAAGAGTCTTTAACTTAAAAATATGTACTTGTTAGTTAATTATCATCATTAGTTAACACAATTTTATATTGATAAATTACGATAACCTATTAGCGTAGTATCAAGGACAAAAAAAAACAATTTAGATTCAAACGTTTTGAAAATTCTATACTTCATAAAGGTTAAGTAACTTATTAATAAGTTTTCTCTGAGGTCTAAATGTGATTTTCCGATTCACTTCTATTTTAAAAATGAATTACAGAATATAAAACGATATAAAATGTACGATATACAGGGCCGCCGAGAGCCAGGTGAGACCCCGGGGCATTTTTGTAAAAAATCAGGTCCATTCGATGTTACATTTCTAAAAAAAAATCCTTAAGCAAAAATTTAGATCCTTTCTCAGTGAAATCTAAACAAAAAAGGCTTCACCTTGTATTTTGGTCCTCCGTTTTGCGGCTAACTTCTAAAAAAATCAAATGATGTCCTCACCCAAAGCTGCCAAGTCCTTCTTTTTGCCCGGGCCCCAGGAATACGTCCCCCCTTTCCCCCCTCTCGTCGGGCCTGACGACATTATAGGATAATTACCAGCAGGATTGTTTTAAATGGATATAGATTGAATGTTGGAGAACTCCAGTGCTTACAGTATTAAAATGTTTATTATATATATTATATAAAAAGTTTATTATTAAAATTACGCTTTAAAAGCAATGTTGTTCTTCTAACACCATAGCAACAAATTCAAAATGGTTATATTTGACAAATCGCAAATCTTATAACATTATTTCATGGAATCAACTTTAAAATGTTCAACAATAGTAGAATACCAACAACGTCAGACATTAAAACAACTACTTCGTGGACACGCTAGAAGACTGCTGTTGGACGTCGCTATACCCAACAACAACTTGGTCCAACAAAATTGGTTCGCAGATATAGTGAAGTTTTATACTATCATTGTACCAAAAACGCTTCACTAAGAAACATTAGTCAACGCCTCCTATAAGGTGTTTTTAATGAATATTTCACTTAAAAGTGGATTAACATAGGCCATATTGGATTTTTTTAAATAATTTGTGTGTTATTTATTAAATAACATTTAGATTTTTAAACTTGTTTTTCTTTATGACTACTTACATTCATTTTAAGGTACATACGTGAATTACATGCACAAATAGGTAATTATTGTATTAGAAATTAATAATGAAGGATATTCAATAAAATAGTTTTTAAAAACCAATTAAGTAGATATACTCTAGACTAGATTACTTCTGGCTCACTTGTACCAAAAATCGCCACGAGATGGCGTATCATATCAGTGTTGATAATTGAACCTGGATAAGTGGTTTGCGACTCGGCTAAGCAATCCAAAATGGCGGCCATCGTTGTCATGACGTGACGTAGATTAACAATAAATAACGAAAATAGAGAATACCATATACTCTGGTTGGAACTTCCTGGACTTAAGACAGTCCAAAACATTCATAGATGGTCTATCCAAGAGCAGACAAAATCAGCTGCTAAACTTTAGCAGAAGCGAACTAAAGACCGTAATATGACTCTATACGACACTACGGCCTTAGTAGACACCTAAATCTCTTAGGTATATCTGTGTAGAATATGAAAAGAGGAGGACGAAACTCCTATTCACATACTATGTCACTGTCGGAACCTTAAATGGGAACGGGAATGGCACTTCGCGGTACAATATCCGGAACCTGAAGAAATTGCAAAAGCGCTAATCAAACATATTCCTAAATTCATCAAGAAAATTAATCTGAAGGAGTAAAAACTGTGAGAGGTACAATAAGCTTAGAGCTTCAGTACGAATGGCCTTTGAACCACACTCTAATTTAGATAGATAGATAGAACGATGATTTGAAAAATCACGCGCAATGGCAATGTCAAAAGGATTGGGTAAATTGTTAGAAGTAACATAGTCCCCAAGAAAAAAGAGGAAGAAGTCAGAAGAACATATCTCCGCTATTATTGGTCCAATTCGACTGGCAAAAACGGGCAACTGGAAAAAATTACGAGTAGATTAACGTTAAAGAGATAAATCAAACATAGTAGCAATGCCAAAAGGACCAAAGTATATATCTCAGCTATGATTGGTCCAATTTGCATAAGAAATACGGCACTATGTAGGGGAAATGGTATAGATTAACGTTGAATAAAAAAATTATGTGCGGTAGCAATACCAAAACGACCAAGTCTATATCTCTGCTATTATTGGTCAGATTTAATCGGGAAAAACATTATTGTATTATGTTGGGGAAGTGTTATAGATTAACGCTAAGGCGAAAAATAATACGTACTGGCAACGTCGTAAGAGCACTGGTTAATATCTTCCCTCGAATTGAGAAAACTGGGGAGTGGGGACAGTTGGCACCACTAAAGCCAGAAACGACGACACTGATTTGTCATTTACGATAACTAAAAATTGAGCCAAAAGTAATTTAGTATACCTACTCAATCAGTAATATCTTGACAAGTATATAACAATTTTTATGTACCTATACCTAAACTGGAGGTCATAATAATCATCGCATTATAGATAGTAGATAGTAGATAGTAGATAGTAGATAGTAGATAGTAGATAGTATAGTAGATAGTAGTAGATAGTAGATAGTAGATAGTAGATAGTAGATAGTAGATAGTAGATAGTAGATAGTAGATAGTAGATAGTAGATAGTAGATAGTAGATAGTAGATAGTAGATAGTAGATAGTAGATAGTAGATAGTAGATAGTAGATAGTAGATAGTAGATAGTAGATAGTAGATAGTAGATAGTAGATAGTAGATAGTAGATAGTAGATAGTAGATAGTAGATAGTAGATAGTAGATAGTAGATAGTAGATAGTAGATAGTAGATAGTAGATAGTAGATAGTAGATAGTAGATAGTAGATAGTAGATAGTAGATAGTAGATAGTAGATAGTAGATAGTAGATAGTAGATAGTAGATAGTAGATAGTAGATAGTAGATAGTAGATAGTAGATAGTAGATAGTAGATAGTAGATAGTAGATAGTAGATAGTAGATAGTAGATAGTAGATAGTAGATAGTAGATAGTAGATAGTAGATAGTAGATAGTAGATAGTAGATAGTAGATAGTAGATAGTAGATAGTAGATAGTAGATAGTAGATAGTAGATAGTAGATAGTAGATAGTAGATAGTAGATAGTAGATAGTAGATAGTAGATAGTAGATAGTAGATAGTAGATAGTAGATAGTAGATAGTAGATAGTAGATAGTAGATAGTAGATAGTAGATAGTAGATAGTAGATAGTAGATAGTAGATAGTAGATAGTAGATAGTAGATAGTAGATAGTAGATAGTAGATAGTAGATAGTAGATAGTAGATAGTAGATAGTAGATAGTAGATAGTAGATAGTAGATAGTAGATAGTAGATAGTAGATAAAATAATTTAAAAATAATTTAAAAATAATTTAAAAATAATTTAAAAATTATTTAAAAATAATTTAAAAATAATTTAAAAATAATTTAAAAATAATTTAAAAATAATTTAAAAATAATTTAAAAATAATTTAAAAATAATTTAAAAATAATTTAAAAATAATTTAAAAATAATTTAAAAATAATTTAAAAATAATTTAAAAATAATTTAAAAATAATTTAAAAATAATTTAAAAATAATTTAAAAATAATTTAAAAATAATTTAAAAATAATTTAAAAATAATTTAAAAATAATTTAAAAATAATTTAATAATAATTTAAAAATAATTTAAAAATAATTTAAAAATAATTTAAAAATAATTTAAAAATAATTTAAAAATAATTTAAAAATAATTTAAAAATAATTTAAAAATAATTTAAAAATAATTTAAAAATAATTTAAAAATAATTTAAAAATAATTTAAAAATAATTTAAAAATAATTTAAAAATAATTTAAAAATAATTTAAAAATAATTTAAAAATAATTTAAAAATAATTTAAAAATAATTTAAAAATAATTTAAAAATAATTTAAAAATAATTTAAAAATAATTTAAAAATAATTTAAAAATAAAAAATAATTTAAAAATAATTTAAAAATAATTTAAAAATAATTTAAAAATAATTTAAAAATAATTTAAAAATAATTTAAAAATAATTTAAAAATAATTTAAAAATAATTTAAAAATAATTTAAAAATAATTTAAAAATAATTTAAAAATAATTTAAAAATAATTTAAAAATAATTTAAAAATAATTTAAAAATAATTTAAAAATAATTTAAAAATAATTTAAAAATAATTTAAAAATAATTTAAAAATAATTTAAAAATAATTTAAAAATAATTTAAAAATAATTTAAAAATAATTTAAAAATAATTTAAAAATAATTTAAAAATAATTTAAAAATAATTTAAAAATAATTTAAAAATAATTTAAAAATAATTTAAAATTAATTTAAAAATAATTTAAAAATAATTTAAAAATAATTTAAAAATAATTTAAAAATAATTTAAAAATAATTTAAAAATAATTTAAAAATAATTTAAAAATAATTTAAAAATAATTTAAAAATAATTTAAAAATAATTTAAAAATAATTTAAAAATAATTTAAAAATAATTTAAAAATAATTTAAAAATAATTTAAAAATAATTTAAAAATAATTTAAAAATAATTTAAAAATAATTTAAAAATAATTTAAAAATAATTTAAAAATAATTTAAAAATAATTTAAAAATAATTTAAAAATAATTTAAAAATAATTTAAAAATAATTTAAAAATAATTTAAAAATAATTTAAAAATAATTTAAAAATAATTTAAAAATAATTTAAAAATAATTTAAAAATAATTTAAAAATAATTTAAAAATAATTTAAAAATAATTTAAAAATAATTTAAAAATAATTTAAAAATAATTTAAAAATAATTTAAAAATAATTTAAAAATAATTTAAAAATAATTTAAAAATAATTTAAAAATAATTTAAAAATAATTTAAAAATAATTTAAAAATAATTTAAAAATAATTTAAAAATAATTTAAAAATAATTTAAAAATAATTTAAAAATAATTTAAAAATAATTTAAAAATAATTTAAAAATAATTTAAAAATAATTTAAAAATAATTTAAAAATAATTTAAAAATAATTTAAAAATAATTTAAAAATAATTTAAAAATAATTTAAAAATAATTTAAAAATAATTTAAAAATAATTTAAAAATAATTTAAAAATAATTTAAAAATAATTTAAAAATAATTTAAAAATAATTTAAAAATAATTTAAAAATAATTTAAAAATAATTTAAAAATAATTTAAAAATAATTTAAAAATAATTTAAAAATAATTTAAAAATAATTTAAAAATAATTTAAAAATAATTTAAAAATAATTTAAAAATAATTTAAAAATAATTTAAAAATAATTTAAAAATAATTTAAAAATAATTTAAAAATAATTTAAAAATAATTTAAAAATAATTTAAAAATAATTTAAAAATAATTTAAAAATAATTTAAAAATAATTTAAAAATAATTTAAAAATAATTTAAAAATAATTTAAAAATAATTTAAAAATAATTTAAAAATAATTTAAAAATAATTTAAAAATAATTTAAAAATAATTTAAAAATAATTTAAAAATAATTTAAAAATAATTTAAAAATAATTTAAAAATAATTTAAAAATAATTTAAAAATAATTTAAAAATAATTTAAAAATAATTTAAAAATAATTTAAAAATAATTTAAAAATAATTTAAAAATAATTTAAAAATAATTTAAAAATAATTTAAAAATAATTTAAAAATAATTTAAAAATAATTTAAAAATAATTTAAAAATAATTTAAAAATAATTTAAAAATAATTTAAAAATAATTTAAAAATAATTTAAAAATAATTTAAAAATAATTTAAAAATAATTTAAAAATAATTTAAAAATAATTTAAAAATAATTTAAAAATAATTTAAAAATAATTTAAAAATAATTTAAAAATAATTTAAAAATAATTTAAAAATAATTTAAAAATAATTTAAAAATAATTTAAAAATAATTTAAAAATAATTTAAAAATAATTTAAAAATAATTTAAAAATAATTTAAAAATAATTTAAAAATAATTTAAAAATAATTTAAAAATAATTTAAAAATAATTTAAAAATAATTTAAAAATAATTTAAAAATAATTTAAAAATAATTTAAAAATAATTTAAAAATAATTTAAAAATAATTTAAAAATAATTTAAAAATAATTTAAAAATAATTTAAAAATAATTTAAAAATAATTTAAAAATAATTTAAAAATAATTTAAAAATAATTTAAAAATAATTTAAAAATAATTTAAAAATAATTTAAAAATAATTTAAAAATAATTTAAAAATAATTTAAAAATAATTTAAAAATAATTTAAAAATAATTTAAAAATAATTTAAAAATAATTTAAAAATAATTTAAAAATAATTTAAAAATAATTTAAAAATAATTTAAAAATAATTTAAAAATAATTTAAAAATAATTTAAAAATAATTTAAAAATAATTTAAAAATAATTTAAAAATAATTTAAAAATAATTTAAAAATAATTTAAAAATAATTTAAAAATAATTTAAAAATAATTTAAAAATAATTTAAAAATAATTTAAAAATAATTTAAAAATAATTTAAAAATAATTTAAAAATAATTTAAAAATAATTTAAAAATAATTTAAAAATAATTTAAAAATAATTTAAAAATAATTTAAAAATAATTTAAAAATAATTTAAAAATAATTTAAAAATAATTTAAAAATAATTTAAAAATAATTTAAAAATTTAAAAATAATTTAAAAATAATTTAAAAATAATTTAAAAATAATTTAAAAATAATTTAAAAATAATTTAAAAATAATTTAAAAATAATTTAAAAATAATTTAAAAATAATTTAAAAATAATTTAAAAATAATTTAAAAATAATTTAAAAATAATTTAAAAATAATTTAAAAATAATTTAAAAATAATTTAAAAATAATTTAAAAATAATTTAAAAATAATTTAAAAATAATTTAAAAATAATTTAAAAATAATTTAAAAATAATTTAAAAATAATTTAAAAATAATTTAAAAATAATTTAAACATAATTTAAAAATAATTTAAAAATAATTTAAAAATAATTTAAAAATAATTTAAAAATAATTTAAAAATAATTTAAAAATAATTTAAAAATAATTTAAAAATAATTTAAAAATAATTTAAAAATAATTTAAAAATAATTTAAAAATAATTTAAAAATAATTTAAAAATAATTTAAAAATAATTTAAAAATAATTTAAAAATAATTTAAAAATAATTTAAAAATAATTTAAAAATAATTTAAAAATAATTTAAAAATAATTTAAAAATAATTTAAAAATAATTTAAAAATAATTTAAAAATAATTTAAAAATAATTTAAAAATAATTTAAAAATAATTTAAAAATAATTTAAAAATAATTTAAAAATAATTTAAAAATAATTTAAAAATAATTTAAAAATAATTTAAAAATAATTTAAAAATAATTTAAAAATAATTTAAAAATAATTTAAAAATAATTTTAAAAATAATTTAAAAATGATTAAAAATAATTTAAAAATAATTTAAAAATAATTTAAAAATAATTTAAAAATAATTTAAAAATAATTTAAAAATAATTTAAAAATAATTTAAAAATAATTTAAAAATAATTTAATTTAAAAATAATTTAAAAATAATTTAAAAATAATTTAAAAATAATTTAAAAATAATTTAAAAATAATTTAAAAATAATTTAAAAATAATTTAAAAATAATTTAAAAATAATTTAAAAATAATTTAAAAATAATTTAAAAATAATTTAAAAATAACAATTGTAATATTACTTGTAATAACTTAAACGTTTTCTATATTACGAGGCTTGTGATAATTTAAATTGGGGGTTAATTTTTTCCAATAATTTTAGCATTTGTAAAAGTTTGTACAAGTGCCAATAGCCCTTAAAACTTCTTTTAATTCAATTAATTTTTTTTAAGATTCCTGAGTCATGAAAAGATTGCTTGATAACATCACTTAGATGATCCATTACTAGAAGTGGTACATGACGCTCTGCAAGTGCAGAAACTGTTTTAATTTTTACTGTTTTCATTTCATCTGAAACTCTGACATTTTTGACATTTGTCAATCTAAAATAGTAAAAGTTTTCCCTATTGTTTTGGTGAATTTTTAGAGAGGACAAACCTTAAATCTGCCAGTAAATCCTGAAATATGCTTTTAATGCTTTGCACAAACATTATGCTCATTATGAAACAATTATTGACTGCTATACAATAGCCACTAAATCCAAGATGAAAATAATGGGTTTTGTTCCCACTTTGTGCGGTAGAACTTTATTTACACTACACCACACTGTTAATAAAAGCAATGGTATCAAGTAAATTCAAACCGCGAACAAAATACAAAATCTAAAATCTTTTTTTAGTATAAGTAGATTGGTAGATTTCACAAACAATATGTACAAGATTTAAAGCCCACAACGCAGTTTAAAAACAAATTTTATCAGAAAGAAACAACAAATTAAGGGTTATATTTAGTAGGTAGCAGATTTGTTTTTATTGAAAATTTACACACAAATAAGGGATGAAAATTATTTAAATCGTTTCAAAAACACTTTGAAAGACTTGGGGCCATTTTCACAGCTAGTCGTTAATAATGAAATTGTCGGTTTAAGCTTGGGTTATAAGTTAACGACCAGTCCTGCAAATAGCTCTTGAAGCGCACATTATGTTGATACAGTAGCTACATAAGTTATAGTAGATTTTATTTTTAGAACACCAAGCAGCATTTGGGAAGAGGCAAAAGAGATCACCAAGAAGAGGTGGAAATGGTGTAGTAGTAAAAAGAGGAGGAACTGTATACGGAAATGTCTTGGGAGTTGGAGGACGAGGGGGAAATCGTAAGGGCAGAGGTGGAAATGGAGTCATAGTAAAAAGAGGAGGAAGAATAATCGGAAATGTAGATGGAACTGGGGGAAATGGTTGTAGAAAATGAGGCGTATGTGAACAACTCTAAGAATGTCTTCAATGTGTGTACATATAAAAGCAATGAATTTTTTTACGAACCCAAAAATTTGAATCATTAGTTATGTAATTGGTATTTTAAGATAATTAATAGGAAATAAAAAATAAAAACTTAATTTTCGTTTAATTTGCCACTATGTTCACTTCCAGGTGCAGACAAAGAGTAAAAATAACAATGCATGAAAATGTAATCGTTGTTTTACTAGTTTGACTACGTTCTTGCTCCTTTAAATTGGTATTTAATTCAACAGTGTTGTCTACGAAGCGATATCAGCAACTAAAAAAGGTTAAAATTCTAGGAATGCCTACTGATATAGCCATAATTGCACACATATTTTTAAATTCAAAAACCAGAACTCGTCTGGTATACAGACAGTTTAAATACCAAGAAAGGAGCCTGTGGTGGAATATTTGGATCCAAAGCGGAAAAAACAATTTTTAGGAAAATGTAGAACAGTGTTCCAGGCTAAACTAATAATAATAATACAACAGTTTATAAGAGAAATAATTAATAAGGCAAAACTATTGTCCTATTCTTTGATAGCTAAGTAGGTCTAAAATTCAAAAACCTGAACTCGTCTGGTATACAGACAGTTTAAATACCAAGAAAGGAGCCTGTGGTGGAATATTTGGATCCAAATCGGAAAAAACAATTTTTAGGAAAATGCAGAACAGTGTTCCAGGCTAAACTAATAATAATAATACAACAGTTTATAAGAGAAATAATTAATAAGGCAAAACTATTGTCATATTCTTTGATAGCTAAGTAGGTCTAAAATTCAAAAACCAGAACTCGTCTGGTATACAGACAGTTTAAATACCAAGAAAGGAGCCTGTGGTGGAATATTTGGATCCAAATCGGAAAAAACAATTTTTAGGAAAATGCAGAACAGTGTTCCAGGCTAAACTAATAATAATAATACAACAGTTTATAAGAGAAATAATTAATAAGGCAAAACTATTGTCATATTCTTTGATAGCTAAGTAGGTCTAAAATTCAAAAACCAGAACTCGTCTGGTATACAGACAGTTTAAATACCAAGAAAGGAGCCTGTGGTGGAATATTTGGATCCAAATCGGAAAAAACAATTTTTAGGAAAATGCAGAACAGTGTTCCAGGCTAAACTAATAATAATAATACAACAGTTTATAAGAGAAATAATTAATAAGGCAAAACTATTGTCATATTCTTTGATAGCTAAGTAGGTCTAAAATTAATTATCTCAACAGAAATACAATCATGACTGGTGAAAAACTGTCTGAAAGACCTGGTAGAGCTAAGTAGTCAAAACAAAGTGGCTTGGGTGCCAGCCCACGAGAAACATCACGTTATGCGTGATTTATGATAATAATGTCACGATTCCCGTGTTCTTTGATAATTATGGGACTATTTATGTCCTGGGGGTTAAATAACAAACTATATGAATCCGGGCCTCAATCATGTAAACACTATTTAGCCTTAAACTTGGCTTCGTAGCCCATAAGTGTATAAGGGTTCTAATTTTGATAGGAAGGAAGGAAACACAGTGTTCTCAAAACAGCATCCCAATATAATAAATTAAATAAAATTTAAAAAAGCAGACTGTTAATCAGAGCTGGGTAATTACATTTACTTTAAAAATAATTACAATTACAAAGTACTTTTTTAAAAAAGGAAATAGTTACAAGTACAAAATACATGTTGTAAAAATAGGAATTATATTGATTTAATTACAATTACATGAAAAAAGGAATTAGCAATTACTTTTATAATTACTTAGACGATAAAACAACAAATTATGATGGAATTGAGGAACTATGAACCAATCGGACCAATACAAATAAAATTTTTAAATAGGTAATTCAAAGTGTCAAACTAACAGCCGTTTGCAACGACTTTCTTAAGGATTCCTTAAAGTTAAATAAACTAAAATAGTAGTTTGTGCAACAAGAGTGGATATGGAGTTGTACAGTATATTTTTTCTACGACCCACTAATGAAAATCTATAATATTTTAGGTCTTAGGTCATTAAGACAAAATAACTAATTTTAAAATAATTTATATTTTTTACTAATTCATAAAATAAAATAAACAATTAAAATTGGTCCTTTGTCCAGATTTCAACTCGGGATATTTGCATAAAAGGCAGATACTCTGTCCTCAGCTCCATCGCCACCTTTATGATTTTGATTTTAATACTCGTAATTAAACTAGTTTCATATAGTTTGACTAAAATTTTTTTTTTAAATTGTAGCCCAAATAAAAATGTTATTAATTATCGATTCTAAACAAAAATAACTCATTTGGTGTATATTTAATCTCAATAACTAAAAATTATACTGACAATTAGTTTGATAGAATAATTGTCATTTATTTAAAATTTTGAAAATAATAGTAGTTTGGTATTCAAAATATGAACTGTGATTGGTGAATTTCATATTTTTTGCAGTGTTCTCACTTCTTAGAATAGATATGAAATATATTCGTTTAGTTAAACACAAAAGCTTACTTTTCCTTTTTAATATGTGCGTAGATAAGCTAATATCTCTGTAGGTGTAGAAAGATATGTTTTTTCTACGCCCACATTTCAATGTAGAAAACTAGAATAATAACTAGAAATACCTACGCAACGTAAATAAGTAGTTTTTAGTATTTATCCCATTAAAACTGCTATTTGCACCACTTCATACTATATTTCCTTAGTGTGTAATGTCTATACAACATAAATTATGTTTATAATTATATAAATACAAAATACGTCTAAGGATATCTGCATCTACTTGCCCCTTACTGTTATTATTTTGCGTTGAACAATTTCACTGCTTCACGGCACAACGCTTTCCATAAATGCATTCAAACAAATGATATGGATGCGGTTCGAACAAGAAATTTTGTTTTTATATCACATGCATCTCATAAACATGCATTTAAAAGTAATTGTAATTAAAAAATGTAATTGTACACATACATGTAATTGGAATTGGAAAAAAGTAGTTGTAATTAAAAAAGTAATTGTAATTGAAAAATTAATTGGAATTGGAAAAGTAATTGTAATTAGAAAAGTAATTGTTCTTATAACAAGTAATTCTATTTGTACAATTTAAATAATATAAATTAATGTAATTACAAAGTGCACAGATTTTGCTGCAATTACAATTCCAAATTATTTTGAAGAAGAAGAAAAAGTACTTAAATACAATTACAAATTACATGAAAAAAAGTAATTGAAATAAATAATTACTTTTTAATTAGGAATTGCCCAGTTCTGCTGTTAATCGATAGTTTATGAATAGTTCTAGAGTTCTTGTTCGTTTGAATAGCTAAATTATTTTTTCTTTTACGGCTCTGGCACTCTTAAAATAATTTTAAGTAATGATTATACATAAAAATTCTAGGCGATAGTAAAATGCTATCATATTATGACAACTTCTAGGACACATATTGCTCCTAAATTACAATGCTTCTAAATAATAACTTGACTCTCTCTCTATATTGAGACCCTAAGAGTCCTAGAATCTAGCATTTTTTAAAATTTTTTATGTATTATTAATAAATAGAAATTAAAGACTATAGTGAGATGCTGCCATATTGTGACGAGTTCTAAAATAAACAATGCTTCTAAATGATAACTTGACTCTGTGTGCATAGATTCCCGAAAAGTTCTAGCCTCTAGAACTTTTTGAATAATTTTAAATATTAATAACAAACAGAAATCATAGACTATAGTGAGATGTTATCATGGTATGTCAAATTCTAGAATGTACAATGTTTCTAAATCAAAACTTGACTCTTTCTGCCTTTAAACCCGAAGAGTTCTAGCCTCTAGCACGTCTTTAATAATTTAATGTATAAATAACAAACATAATTTATAGACCGTAGTGAGATGCTAGAACATTTTGACAAGTTATAGAATATATCATGCTTCTAAAGAATAACATAATTCTATTTGCATTGAGACCCAAAGCACTTTGTCAATAATTTTAAGTAATTATACAGGGTGTCTGTAAAAGGTCTTTACAAAAACATACCACATATTCCTTAGACCAAAATAAGTCGATTTAAGTAAAATTACCTTAGTACAAAGTTGCTTCGTTTGGGCTCCAGAGGACCTTGAAGTTACAATTTTTAAATCGTTTTTCCCATATAAATTTAAAACGGCATATGCGATTTTGCTGAAATTTGGTATATTGGTAGAGTTTTATGTGGCAAAAAAATGGTATTAAAAGTTTGTCCAATTATAATACATAGGCGTAGAACTTGATTTTTTAAATATATGCACCTTTAAAAATTCTACGCCAATGGAAGAAAAGGAGTTTGAGTATGAAATTTAGATTGCGCAACTCATTTACTTTAAAAAAAGGTACTTTTGATAAGACTCGATTACTCTCATGGTTTTGACGAAATTTGCATTTTAGTAATTTTAGAACATAAACAATAATTATTAAAATACAAACTTTGTCAAAACCATGAGAGTTAATCGAGTGTTATCATGAATACTTTTTTGTAGTAAATGAGTACCCAATCCAAATTTCATACTCAAACCCCTTTTCTGCCATTGGCGTAGAATTTTTAATGGTACAATTATTTAAAAAATCAAGTTCTACGCCTATGTATTATTATCGGACAAAATTTTATACGATGAAAAACATAAAAATGTACTTTTTTCATATCTTCTTCAACACCTCTAATCGAGACTTTTAACAAAAATACTCGATTCTTGCCATGTACGATTTTTTGAGGAATATTAATTATTTGCCTGCAATACTTTCACAAAAACATTTATTGTTGGTTTCCATAGTTTCATCTAAATAAAAATATTGTCAGGTTTTAACACCTAATCTCTTGTTAACTATTGAAAGTGTTCTATCTGACTCAATAATTAAAAAAACAAATGCGTGCTGTACAATATATCAATACAGAATATACCGATATTTTACTGACATTAGGATTTTGTGAAGAAAATGCTCGAGAGAGTGTCAGGGTGTACTCTGAAAGGTTTCCAAATCGTCATGTACCTAGCCACTTAACTTTTGCTCACGGGGGTTTAAATCATATGCAAAATATGCCAACCTGTTTACTGCGCAGACCACCCGGCGCTTGGGTGCTCTGAAGTCCGTTTTACAATAACCAAATTGT